TATATATATATATATATATATATATATATATATATATATATATATATATATATATAAAATATAGTAAAATAATATAAATAAAATATAAAATATATAAAAATATAATGTAATAATAATATAAATAAAAAATAAAATATATAATATCAAAAAAAATATATATATAATAATAAATAAAATATAAATTATATTTCTTACTAATATATATGTATATAAAAAGGGTTGAAGCAATAGTAATAAAAATATTCTAGTTAATAAGACTTGATTATCGCTATTCGTCAAATATACATAAAGAAATAAAATAAATAAAAAAAAGGGTTCGAGCAATAGCAATGAGATTTATTTTTCATCGCTAACATAAGAGATAGAGAAAGAGAAAGAGAACTCGATCATCACTGTTCGCCAAACGTCCAAAGCATCGTATCGTAACGCTTATGTTACGAAGTGAACACTAACTGCCTGTAACCAGTCGCAACGGCTCGGTAATAGACTTAAATTAACCAGCGGGGGCCCTAAATGTGTGGCACATACGTGTGAACCGAACGCATGCAAAAATCACGTATATAAGCGTGTATCACACGTATGTAGTATATGTATGTGTACATACGTACTATATACTTCATTTATATATATTTGTATTACTAGATATCAACAGTGTATTGTAAGAGTTTCATATGTAATGATACACATGTAATGGTACACATGTAATGGTACACATGTAATGGTACACATGTGTAATGGTATTACACATGTTACATGTTTTGTATTATACTAAAACTCCGGACGTTTAGGTACAGCAGCCTCCTGTTGCGTGTCTCTCATGAAAACGTTCATGATTACGAGTTATCTTTATCAAATAGAAAGAGAGAGAGAGAGAGAGAGAGAGAGAAAGAAATAGATAAAGAAAGTATTCTAATACATTTAAAATCATTAGTTTGTGTATGATTATCATGCATGTTTTCTGTGAAACACGTGTATCTCTCATATGTTTTCTTGTTAATTCATTTTGTTTTTCATTTCTTTTTCTTATCAAAGATTTTCTATTAAAAATAAGTTTACATTTGAAATTAATTTTAAATATGGTATTGTATAAAAGATGAAAAGAAAAAAAAAACAAGGGAACCTTGGATGTAAGCTCGTGAAATTGAAAAACACGATTGATAGTCTTTGGTATATTTTTTTTTTTTTCTATATTAACATAATCTTGTCTTTGAACTTTGTTGATTTATTCGAATAAAAATGATATTATATAATAATTCTATTTTAAAATAAATATTAAGAGCAACATTTTCTATTACATCAAAATTTGTTTTTCTCATACGTCAAATTAACGTTTATATACGCATTATATTATTTATATTTTATGTTTGTTCCAATTGTTGCAAATATGATAAATCTAATCGTACGACGAATGATTTTAGTCTCACCGTAATTCGACAACGATAACCACAGATAAAAGATCAACTTGCTATTCTAACGTCATTTAGTATACACGTATTACGTATATATTAGTATATATGTAAATATATATATATATTTCTATGTATCGTATTATCGATTCATCGTAACTGCTTCGATAATAACCAATAAAGTAATAAAATATCAATGTGTATATATATATATATATATATATATATATATTACATATGCAATTATGATATGCAGTTTAGTTTATACAAGACTAATCTCTACAAGATTTC